AAAAAAAAAAAAATAAACAAAAAAAACAAAAAGAAAAAAAAAATTCGATTTTGCCAAAGTTTGTGTACTCCCGTTCACAGATTAGCTCAAAGATTAAAGACCACATCACAAGGTCATATGATCGACAATATATGAATTATTATTCATAATTCATAACTTGCTGGTTATAGTTACGTGGGTATCAAAGCACAAAGTATGTGTTGCATATCAAATTCGCATCAAAATTCTGTTTTTATCAGGATAAATGTAACAATTTCAGTAGGAAGAAAGAAGAAATTATAAAAGTAGAGCTGTTGAAAGTAAATAAAAACATTTTGCTATTGGGAGAGAACTAGAAAAGCAGTTTTTGTGTCACTATTTTCCATTGCTTTTCTTTACTATTGTAAAGCGAACCTTACTTTTTCGAGCTGAATATACGAAATTCGACAGGTTTGATATTAGTATGAGGACATCTTCTTAGATCTTAGAATTGTCTTTATGATGATCATGCAAACATTCATATTCATTTTTATTTCTTTTTCGACATTATTCCTATTTTTAATATGAAACAAAACATATGTGTATGATAGTTGTGTTCTGATAACCACTTTAATTTTTAATTTATAAATATCTAGTTGATGTTGTGATGCAAGATCACTTAATCCCAGATCACTTAATGAATTTCGCATCCAAAGTTATATTAACGTGAATTTAAATTACTGAATAGAACACACATATTGGGATTAGACAAATAACTACATGTACGACAGTTACACTCTGGTAACCATATGGAAAGCGTCTCGCGTCTAATCAAGACTTTTCGTTTCAGAAAATTCCCGAATCAGAAAATTTATTTTCTTCGTCTGCTTCCTTGTTTTTTCGTTTCATTTCACAAATTTAACAATGTTGTGATGCTAACAATATTGTTGTGATGCTGATGTCATTCCATTTGTTTACAATGAGCATAACAATACTGTGATGTTTGTGTCACTCATGATACCATTGATTATGTATTGTTATGACACGGTAACTCGCAAATAAATATTGCAATGGACATTTCGTGAAACTTCAATAATCCTTAATATTTTCAGATATTTTATGTTGACCTTACCTCATTTATTTCTTCTACTGCACTTTTCTCTATTTAATTGTGCGTTCAGTAATGCATTCGTATTGAGAACGGATGTAAAGGTAGAAGAAAGCCTTATTTATGTACAAACTATCTGGCGACACGGTGATCGCGCACCACACCAGTTACCTTACCCAAGTGATCTGAATAATGAAAGCTCTTGGCCAAGAGGATGGTCTCAGCTTACAAACGTTTGATTCGATTTTTTTGCAAAAATCTGAA